CCCCAAGGAGAAGAAGCGGCCGCGGGAGAACAAAGAAGTGCCGCGGGCCAGCCTGCTCAGCTTCCAGGACGAGGAGGAGGGTGAGGCACCGGGGCCGCGCGGCCTTTGGTTCGCTGTCTGCCAGGGGTGGACGGGCGCGGAGCTGGCCAGCCCGCACCGGGCCTCCCCGCCCGTCATCTGCGCACGCCTCGTCCCCCTAGAGAGCTTCCACCCTTGCTTCATTTAATATATATTTTTTAAGACTGTTGGGTTGTCCCGCCTGACGTGGGGGTGATGATGGGTCGCATAAGAGGGGGAGAGCCCTAGGGGCGCGGTGCGGAGGGCCAGGGATGCACGGGCGGGGAGCGCCGCACTGGCAGCCGCCTTTGGCCCCGTTTCCTTCCCGGGCCCGACCCCGCTCCCGCGGAGCCAGGGTGCTCCCAGCGCTGGAGAGCAGCCGGGTGGCGTCCCGCGTATTTAGGTCCGGTTTAGGGGAGTAATTTGCCTCTGCTGCCTGACTTGCATCCGTGTTGCGCTCACTGCAGCTGGCTGGCTTGCTGCGCCTGACCTGGGTTTGTGCGGTACCCAGAGCCCATGCAACCCCCCTCCAGAACCAGCAGTGCTGTTTGAGGGGAATATTTCCTGCGGCTTTGTGTCGAGTTTTCATCAGATGTGGCTGGTGTTCACGGGTCATGTCGGACTGCCTGTTTGCCTGGAGCAAACTCCACGTGAAGCCACTGGTGTTTTGTTGCAGTTAGTTCGTCTAGATGCCCACAAGGTTTATTAGATTAACCTTCACAAATAATGAAAAAAAAATTGTTGAGCAGTTTCTGGACCTCAGCTTTTGAAAAAATAGCACAGTTGTGTTTGTACAGTGCTTCAACTAATAATTCTGCTGGATTCCAGCCGGTACTGCACTCATTAACTGGTCCATTCACACTCAGATAATCTGATTAGGGATAATATTTATCACATATTAAAAATGATCAAAAACCACTTCTCAGACTCCGGAGTTCGTTGCATTCCAGAAGTTCAGGGTGAATAAAATGAGAAGCTTATTTTTGTACTACCTTTTGTCAGCCGGAATGTTAGTATGCATCTTGATTTTTTTTTTTTTTTTTTTTTTTTTAGACTTGAAATCTTGACAGAAATACTGAAAACGTGGAATTACACTGTAGACTTAAGCCCCAAACACTTGCGGATTTTCTACATCAAAGTTTGAATTTTCTTTTGTTCTGTGCTATTTAGTTCTTACTGCCTACCTTTTGGTATGTTGTAGTGTGCAGGCATTTGAACTAGTAGTACAGCCAAAACGATAAGTTCACTTACTGATTGTGTACATGTGTGGCTGTGAAAAGGCTATTGACCCAAAATGTTGGGGCTTCATGATGTTTTCTTCCAAATTAGTGGTCACAGTGAAGAATCAGCTGGGATTTGTTTTGGTGTTTTTTTTAAAAAGCCCCGATTACTGCAGTCAGATAGAAGCAGGTCATGTGTGTACACTTTTGTGTAACTTGTGCTTTGCTTTTCTGTGACTGCAGGATGCATACATTTAAAAATGACAAAAAAAAAGACAAGGTGGACATTAGTTCACATGAAGGATATGGGACTGTTTTTGTTGCAACAGTGCACATGTAAAGTCACATTAAATTATGTTGTTAGTGACATTTGTCAAGTTCTAGGTGCAAAATTAAGAGATTTAATAGGTAAGTATACTTCTTGGCAAGTCTAATGTCTTGTTTTTCAACTTCTCTTTTAAAGAAACTGAAGAAGTTTTTAAAGTGAAGAAATCAAGTTACAGCAAAAAGATTGTAAAACAATTGAAGAAAGAATACAAAGAAGATCTTGAAAAATCAAAAGTTAGAACAGAGGTCAATTCTCCAACAGATGGTAACTACAAAATTTTTGTAATGGAAAAGATTGAGTATTGTAAATACAAATTACTCGTATTCAAGATGAATTGTTAGTCTTTCTGGAGTATTTAGAACTGAAGTAAAGCGTGCATTAAATGTGTTCATTCAAACTTTGCAAATGCTGTTCTGAAGCTGGTAGAGAGTTCTGTGTTTTTATGTCAGATGAGTTGCTTCCTTTTGAATTAGGAAGGAATTAAATTAGTTTAGAACTGTGTGGTGCTTACCTGACAGGATGTGTCCTTGTAATGCATCTTCTTGAAAAGGAACGTTTTTGGGATGAGTGATGTTCTTTGTTATTAAGTAAATTATTCAACAGCTCTCTGTTTCAGAACTTGGACCTTAGAGTAGATTTGATGATTAAGATGACAGGATTAAAGTGTTAGAGCAGAAGGATATTTTATCAATGTACAATCCTCCAGAGCTTGGAATAGAGCCTGTGATTTCAATTTCATTGTACTTCTGCTATTGGTTTTTGGCAAGCTCATTGGTAAGGAGTAATGATTCCTCTTCCAGTTAGGTTTTT